TTTTGCCTAAAGGCACATAGGGCATGCTTGGTAGAGAGGAAATTTGACAGAGATACTGAGATTCCTCAGTCCAAACCCTCCTATCAGAAATATGACTCAAGTGGTAGAGCTCTTGCCCAGAGTGGGAAAGTTAGGTCAGTTCAAGCCCCATTATCAATACACCAAAACAAAACAAAACAATCTCAAGAAACAACAACAACAAACACGAAAAAACTCAAAATACAGTGGACTTTTGGCTGCTTTTTGAAGGCACTTCCTCCTTTACATAGTACTCTGTTTTTATACATCAGCTCTCAAATTGTTAGAAACTTTCCCCAACATTTTTTTGCCTTCTCTTTCTCATGCCTGGTCACACACTGATCTTTGAGATAAGCTATTGGTTAGTTCACCATAGATTATGGTATGAGTATTGGAAGATCAACTCCGCCACAAATTTTGGATTGGAGATTTTTTTCTTCTTCTTCTTTTTTGTTTTTTTTTTTTTTTGTAGGTCTTAGGGCTTGAATTCTGGGCCTGAGCTCTATCCCTAAGCTTGCTTTACTTTGCTTAAGGTGAGTGCTCTACCACTTTGAGCCACCACTTTGAGCTACCGAGTCACTTTTAGCTTTTTTGAGTAGTTTATTGGAGATAAGAATCTCACAGACTTGTCTGCCTGTGGTGGCTTTGAACCATGATCCTCAGATCTCAGCCTCCTGTCAGTGTGAGCCACTGGCACCTGACTTGGATTGGAGACTTTTGGTAGCAACAACTATGAACATTAGTATAGGATTTTATTTCTTATAGTACATTAAAATGTGTAACCCATGGAAATGTTTTTTTTTGGGGGGGCGGTCCAGTGGTGGGGCCTGAACTCTGGGCCTGGGCGCTGTCCCTCAGCTCTTCAGCTCAAGGCTAGTGCTCTACCACTTGAGCCACAGCACCACCTCCAGCTTTTTTCTTTTTACTTATGCTCTACCACTGAGCCACCTTCCCAGCCCGCCATGGAAATCTTTATAGAGAAAATCAACAAATAGCTATTATTAGACAAATACAGAGACAAGAACTAAGGTCAGAGAACATAAGTAACTTGAGAGAGCAAGTAGTTGGTAGTTGTCTCCAATCAGTTCTTCTGGTTGAAAAACCTTTATCCAGGGGCTGGGAAGGTGGCTCAGTGGTAGAGTGCTTGCCTCGCATTCACAAGGCCCTGGATTCGATTCCTCAGCACCACATAAGCAGAAAAGGCCAGAAGTGGTACTGGGGCTCAAGTGGTAGAGCACTACCCTTGAGCTGAAGGGCTGAGGGACAGCACCCAGGCCCAGAGTTCAGGCCCCACAACTGACCAAAAAAACCAAAAACAAAACAACAACAACAACAAAACACCTTTATCCATCTACTCTCATGACAAAAAGGCCCAAAGCTATGGTTAAGGATGGAGACTCTAGAGTTAATGCATCTGAGTTTGTATCTGATTCTATCTATCCGTAAAGCAGATTGCGATACTAACTTGCTTAATTAATTCTAAAGCACATTTTTATGTAACTTATATGCATGTAATAACTCCTAGCAAAGTGTTGTCTTATTTTAAAATGACGTTTTAAAAATACCTCCAGGAAACAGGACACTCGTGGCTCATGCCTGTAATCCTACCTACTCAGGAGGTTGAGATCTGAGGATTGTGGTTCAAAGCCAGCCCAGGCAGGAAACTCTGTGAGACTGCTTATCTCCATAAAAATACTCAAAAAAGCCAGAAGGGGTGCTGTGGCTTGAAGTGGCAGAGCATTAGCCTTGAGTGAAAAAGCTCAAGGATGGAACCCAGGCCCACAGTTCAAGCCCCAGGACGAGGGGGAAAAAGAATAAATCCTTCCTGGAGTTTCTTCTTTGAGATTTTACAAATAGGAAACAAATCTGAGAAGTCAGTAACCAGGGAAGAACAGCCTGCCTGATTCCAACATCGTTTCTGTCTCCTTCCTATGCAGCACACCCTCCTCAAATGATTTCTCGAAAAGAGCTAAGCAAAGCTGTTGTTTGTGGAGAGGTAAAAATGGCAACAGTATACAAAAACCCCTATCCCCAAGCTTGGGTGTATGAGGGGGTGGGTGGGTAACTGCGTTGACCATTTGCATACTTTTTCTTAATTTGCTAAGGGTCTCACATTCCTTTATGATGACAAAGTATCCTAGGATGACTACAACGAGAGAAATTTCTTGTCTTCTGGTTTTGGAAACAGGAAGTGAAGACCTGTGGGTGGGCAGAATTAGTTCTCTTCTGAAGACCTAGAGGGAGGGATCTATGGGCTCTGCTCCAGTGCCTCCTCCCAGGTTGTGGAAGGTGTTGCTCACAACTGCTTCTCTACCAGTGTCTTGTGTGTATCTCCATGCTCAAATTCTCCCTTTCTATGAGGAGATCAGTCATGTTGGACTAAAACCTATTCTAACAGCCTCCCTTCAACCTGGTTCTTCTGTAAGGATCCATCAAAGAAGATAATACCCCCAAATAAAGTCACATTCTGAAACTCTAGGGGTTTAGGGCCTCAACACTGAATTCTGGAGCAGGAGGAGATCCCACACAAACATAGCAGACTATCTGTTATTACTGTAAGGTATTACTGTGTCAGTCTGCAGAGTTAACTGCCCTTGGAGCTCACTGGGCTGTTGCAGGTTCTTTATATGTATTAATGTATTTAAACCTCAGCTGAATGCTAAGAGGTAGATATTATTTTCTCTCCTTTACAAATGAGGTACCTGGGGCATAGAGAAATTAAGTAACTTGCTCAAAGTCAGGCAGCTAGTTTTCTGCAGAGCCAGAAATTTAAATCAGTCAGGCTGCCTCTGAGACTTCTTTTTTAAGTACAAGGCTTCAGTGCCTCTTTGAATAAGACATATTCTTGGCTCTCTGAGACCACATAGTCCAATTCTGGGCCTATTCAAAGTGTCTGGAGTCTTGCAAGGTAAGGAAAGACCAATTGTAGCCATTTTGCTGATCCTTGAACATACTAGGTATCTTCTGCTTACGGGCTTTTACAACTGCTTTTATCTCTGTAGAATTTTCTGTCCTAAGAGTCATATAAACAACTCCCTGACTTCCTTAGCATTTCTGTTCAAGTGCCTCTTCATAGTGATATTTTTCTTGTTTCCTTCTCTCTTATTTATTTATTTTTTTGTGCTAGTACTAGGGCTTGAACTCAGGGATTCATGTTTTGGGCTTGGCTTTTTCCCTTAAGGCTAGCACTCTACCACTTGAGCCAAACCTCTACTTCTGGCTTTTGGGTGGTTAACTGGAGTTAAAAGTCTAACAGACTTTCCTGCCTGAACTGGCTTCAAATCCAGATCATCAGATCTCAGCCTCTGCTGCCCAGCAGGGGCAGCTTCTCTTGATGCTTCAGCATCCCGCACCCCCTTGCTGCAATCATGACCATTTGACGCTTAGGTGAGCTTTGCTTCTCTCTTTCTCCTCTCCCACTAGATCATAAGCAAGTATTTTTACCTGTTTGGTTCCTTGCTGTATTTACATCACCTAAAACAGGACCTGACCACATAGAGTGTGAGTGTATATGTATATATCTATATATAGATATATAGATATATATATACATATATATCTATATATACATATACACATGTATATATGGATACAAACCTATGCATGGATACATAATTTATAAGTATTTTAAATTTGCATATTTATTGGTTCATTAGGCATTCATATTTATGAATAAATAATTCCATATGCATGGATATTTAGTTGGCTTTCCAAAAATTAGAATCCTTCTTCTGACATGAGAAACCATCCCTCTTACTCGATCAACTCATTTTTCTTCTATCTGAGCAGTAAACATTGTGTAATATTAGCTTAGTCCATAAAACTTTTACTAGGTAGTAAGTATGCCCTTCTGTACCTTTTTCTCTAAACTCCAAATATTTTACCTGCTCTCCTGCCACCACCCTTGCTGGCCCTGCTTCGTTTGGAATTGCTACTCAATCTCCATTACTGACAAGCCTGAGTGCCTGCCCAGCTCTGCTGGGTAGACACTTAGTTGAATGACATTAAGCCAGGCTAACTTGAACCACAGCTCTATTTCTTGCTTTTTGCTGGTTAATTGAAGATAAGGGGTCTCATGGACTTTCATACCCAATCCAGCTTTGAACTGTGATCTTCAGATCTTAGCCTCCTGAGTAGTTAGGCTGACAGGCATGAGCCACTGGCACTCAGCTTTTTGGCTTTGGTTTGGGCTGGCCTCAAATTCATCATCTTCCTAGCTGAGCCTCCAGAGTGTTGAGATTACAACACCACGCTGAGATCAGGTCATCTCTATTTTTTTTTTTTTTGGGTCCGGTCTTGGGGCCTGAACTCTGAGCCTGGGCGTTGTCTCTCAGCTCTACCACCTGAGCCACAGCACCACTTCCGGCTTTTTTCTTTTTGCTTATGTGGTGCTGAGGAATCGAACCCAGGGCCTCAGGCATGCAAGGCAAGCGCTCTACCACTGAGCCACCTTCCCAGCCCAGTCATCTCTATTTTTACAGGCACCTATCATCAAGCACCTATTCTAGTATAACCTTATTGTACAAATGAGGAATCCAGGATTCAGGAGCACAGATGGACTTTTCCCAGGCCATACAATTAGTAAGGATCAGAGACCAGTCTAAAGCCACAAGAGAGCTCTGTATGGCCTCTTTTTTCCCTGCTCCCAGACCTGGAGGCCCATGATGACTGAAAAGGCCAACAATCCAGCAGAGGCAAGCACACAGAGGTGACAAGACGCTTGTACAGTGCCCGGGAGGGGAGTATATACACTACCAGTTTGTCAAGTACAGCTAGACCTCCTGCAGTGTCCTTCTCAGTGGCTCTCTAGTTCTCATGCTCCAAAGGGGTTTAGGACACAGCACAGCCCTCTTTACTCCCATCTCCCTTGAATAAGTCCCAAACCACAATACTTTTACCCAGGGATCCCTCCCCAGGGAGGAATGAAACCCAATCTGGCAAGGAAGGACACCAGAAGCTCACATGCAAATCAAGGTCCTTACCTCTTCCATAGCTTTCCTGGGAGGTAGGGTCTGGGACACAAACCAAGCTTGCCTGTGAGCTGGATCAATAGAGTGTTTGTGTCTGCCTTTACCTGCTGGGGAGCAGTCACTTCTCCAGGTCCTGCATACAACTGAACCCAAGCTCTTCACCTGCTCCACCTGGGCTTAGGCTCCTCCCATACTGCTGACTGAGCACCGCAGGCTGGCTTCCATCCCCTCAGTTCCGCCAGCTGCGATGGGGGCTGGGGAAAGTCTGTTCAGGTTTGCCTTGTAGCTCTTTCCAACTGCTCCCGAACTGGTCTGACCGTCATGGTCACTGTCACAATCACGCTCTCGCTCTCTCTCTCTCTCTCCAGGAGTCTGACTGTTTGTCTCTATCCTGCCCTGTCCTACCCCATTCTGGGGAATTGCTAGGGAAGGGAGCACGTCTTACCCCTTTAGTTAGTGAGGAAGTCTCAGGCAGGGACACGGCACAGACACCTCGATCTCTTGCTAGTAATAGCCTCAGGCCTAACTCCACCCCTCCTAATGCTACTTAATTTCACAAAATACTTTCTTTCTCTTGGTGAAGGGAGCCAAAGTCCAAATAGGCGGAAGTGTGGCTCAACTCACCAGGGTATTCAATAGAGGCGAGACTAGGAACAAGGGAATGATAGCACCGCTTTGTGAGAGGTATTACCAAGGTATTTGAATGCCTGATTAGATTTAACTCTCACACTAGCCCTGGGAAGTGCTATTATTCCGCCCCACATACACTCAGGAGAGGAACTGAGGCTCAGAGGTCCTACCCCCAATTAGGTAGGAAGTAGAAAAGTCTATCTGAACCCAGATCTGGCTGATTCTAAAGTGTGTGTGTGGCGGGAGTGGGGGGATGTGGGGGGTGGGGGGTGGGAGTAGTCTTCCCTATTGTCACAGGAGTTTGTACTATTCTTCTTGCTCTGCTCTGTTTGGGTTAAATTCTTGAAACAAAAAGGTTTCCCTGTTCTGGTCAGGGTGGAGGAAGAGGGCAGGAGAGGAAATTCCACGGGCCTGACCACTTCTCACGTGTGACTGAGGCAGAGACTCTCACCTTGCTCAGATGATAGCCTGGAGTCTGATCCAATTGGGTCACATTCTCCTCAGCTCGAGGTAGTACAGACAGGGGTCCCCTGTACACTTCTTTCAGAGCTCTTGTCCTCTCTCTTCTCTGTGTCCAGGTAAAAATCAGGCCAGGGAGGAAGCTCTCAGGCTCTAAGCCCAGTTGGGTTCCTTGGAGCCCAACTTCCTCTTGCTCTCAAGGTAAAGGCTCCCCCTAGTGGCTCGAAGCCACTGCACAATGGCGGAGCAGAAGTGCTGGTCTGCAAGTCCCTAGATGTGGGATCTGTGGTTTGGTTTGGTTCAGGACATGTTACAGTAGGATATTGTAGATATTCAGCATTGGCAGCTGTTGGGAGTGGGGAGTACTTTGCCGACAGATTTCAGAACTGTGACTTGGAACGACATAACATCTATTTCCTTTCTCATGATCTAGCTGTTGCCCATGAGGGAGTTGAGATGTTAAGTTCCTCATCTTTAAAATGAAGTAAGAGTTATCAGTGTTCATTTAAGGACTAAGGGCCATTCACAAGCCTTCTGGTGCTTAGTACTATATGTGTACCCAAATGCCAGGCACTGGTGCCTGATGGGGTTGGGGTGGGGGAGTATGTGTTGGAGCTGTATGTGCTGGTTGTATTTATTGCTTTAATGTTTATCGTAACCTCAGGATGTATGTGAGCCCCATTCTGTGCTCTATCTTTGCATCTATCTGAACAGAAAGGTAACATACACATGATAACATGGGAGAGTGGAGCAGAAGAATCGATGGGAATTGAGGGGAGTGTTGGGCTGAAAATTTGGGTTTTGAACTGAGTTCAGGTAGCACTATGTCTTAGGAAGGAATACCTCAGTTTGATTAAATAGGATGAGCTTCAGGCCCAGGTGACTTTCTGTATGAGCTCTACTTTATCACAAACAAATCAATGTCCGATGGAGCATCTAGTATCACCTACCAGGAGCAGTGGTTTTAGAACCTGCAAACATTCCCTTATTGTGATCTTCAACATATTTTATTAGCATATATTAGTTACATAAAAGATTTTCATTGTGCCATTTCCATACTTGCACACAATATATTCCTATTAAACTCACCCCTTCAAACACTCTCCCCCATTCCTTCCCTTTTTGTACATAATTTTAATAAGCTTCATTGTTATATTTTCCTACCTTGCAGATAAAGTACTTTGATCCTATTTACTCTCTCAGCCCTCAATCTCCCTCTGATCCTTACCCTGAATGTACCGTTTAGTATTCCTATCAGTCTTTTCTTTTCTTCTTCTCCCCCCTGTCCCCCCCCCCTCCCCACACTGTATGGCCATTGAGCAAAGGATGAATAGAATAAGGCACATAGAATAAGGGCCATACAGCAAATCAGGAATTCCAATCTGACAGCCCCTGTCTCCTAAGCCTACCTTCATGGCCATTCTATTGGCTTCTAATTTAATCTCAGAAATACTAAACAAGAAACATTGGATTTGAGACTTTGAAGGGTTCTTTAAAGCATTTCCGCTTCCAAATTAAATTCTGAAGATAGGCCATTAGAAAGCCTAGCAGATAACTTAGGCTGAAGTTAAGCTTCAATCTTGTAGGCCTTTCTGTTTCTTTGTTTTGGTTTGCTTTTCCTGGTTAATGTACCATACTCTCCAAAAACATACCACTCTTTCTTCAGGGCAATAAAGCAGCAGAAATGAACACTTCCAGAACATTCTTTTGTTGTTGTTGTTGTTGTTGGTCATAGGGCTTGAACTTTGGGCCTGGGCGCTGTTCCTCAGCTCTTCAGCTCAAGACAAGCACTCTACCACTTGAGTCACAGTGCCACATCCAGTTTTCTGAGTGGTTTATTGGAGATAAGAGTCTCACCGACTTTCCTGCCTGAGCTGGCTTTGAACCATGATCCTCGGAACTCAGCCTCCTGAATAGCTAGGATTATAGGCATAAGTCATCAGCCTCCAAATCTTGCTTCTAGTTTCACATACTGTTGGGAGTTTTTCAATATTATTATTATTATTATTACTCACAGCAAAATACTATGTTGGGAAAAAGCAGCAGTCAAACCCATGTGGACCTGGTTAGTCACATGAACTCACCTCTTTCTAGGGTGCATGTTAAGGCCTCCATGGTCTATGAAAATCTGGGGTATATGGACTGATTGGCAGAATGAGTATGGTGCTGCTGGGTAACCTCCTATTCATATTAAAATTATTATTGGTTGAATTAATCATGTCTGAGGCTTCCCAGCATAACATGTAATTTGTTTATGTATAATTTATATCCTGACTATTTTCAAGGGAGAGAAGGGAAGAGGAAAAGAAGTTAAATTTATGAAGAGTCTATTGTATAATGAGTTACACAGTTAGCAAGTATTTCCTTCTATTCCTCCTGACAATGGGAGTGAGGGTAGAGATGTGAGTTGCTAGTTGACAGGTAATGACTATGAGGCTCTGGTAGGTCATGCTAAACTCCTGGTGACACAGACAGAGAGCACAGGTCTGATTTTCCTTTTTGGCTTTAGCCTCCTATTCAAATCCATGTGTTTCTTCCTCTCTCCTGGATTGGCTCCAAAACAACTGGAGGCACAATTAAAAGCCAAGCAACACATGGGTGGACACATGGGTGGACAAAAACGAAGACAGGATAGACAGACAAACAGGAAAGAATAGATACCCCATGAAGGCATATGGGGTGGATTACAAAGTATAAAGCTATTTAAAGCTAATGTATTTAAGGTTATGCTGGCCCAGGCCTGTAATCTCTGTTATTCAGGAAGTGGAGATAAGATGATGGGACAAAAGCACATGACTATCTGCCAAACAGGCTAAAAACACAAACAAAAACTCTGAAGGTATGACTCAGGTGGTAGTGAGGCCCTGAGTTCAAGATAATATATTTGAGGATAAAATACATTTAAGGACCTTTAAGAAAGGTCTTGCTTCTTTTTGCCTATGTGGGGAAACTGATCAATTATCTGATTTCTCTTTTGTCTTGAAGAAAATGTTGTTCTTCATTTTCTACCTATTTCAGCAAACATCCCAATATATAATTTAGTACGTTTTCTCTTTTTGAAGGATGCTACAGAAACATGACCAGGTACATTGCTATCTTTTAGATTGTATTTTAATGAGAATAATAATCCCTACTTTGGTCCAGGTGCTTTGCTCGGAGCTAGGCATGTGGCAGCCCTTTAGGTTCTTGTAAGGAAACTCTTCCTCCACGAACACCAGTTACAAGAACACCAGTTACATTATGTATGCATCACTTAGATGAATTATTAAGATGTTTTCTGCTATGCTTGTCTTGTTGAGATCAAAGGGAGATCTCTCCCCTGTGGCAAGGAGAGGGGGCTTGCTTGGAAGTAGAAAATCATTATCAATATCAATCACTCCCATGTTCCATCACCCAGAAAAGTGGGGCCTTCGATAGAGAACTCAAGCAGGGAATTCCCATCTCTCTTGGGGTCTTGTTTACTTGGATTAGGACTTCAAGGCATCGTATGTCACATGACTGTGATGCAGAAACCTTCAGAGTATTAGGATGTAGGCCTGGTAGGTCTTCAAATCCATAGGTTGGTTGATGCCTTAGTAGTCCATTTGTGCTGCACTAAGAAAACACCTTAGACTGAGTAAATTTCTGAACAGCATAAATCCATGGCTCATCACTGTAAAAACTGAGAAGCTCAAGATCAAGACAGCAGCAGGTGTCTGGTAAGGATTTAGTCTCTGCCTTGAACACTGCTATCTCTGGAGGTCAGGGATGCTTTTTCCTCTGGCAGAAGGCAGAAGGCAAAAGAGCTTAGTTAGGCCACTAAGGCTCTTTATTATTATTATTGTTGTTGTTGTTACTACTATTCCTATTATTAGTATTATTGTTATTTTGTGTGCTGGCACTGGAGCTTGAATTCAGGTTGTCTCACTGTCTGTAATCATATTCACTCATAGCTGGTACTCTACCACTTG